TCAGGACTGAAATCTTTGGTGAAGTGAATACTGAAGACCACCTGGATAGTGAAAGACAGCAGCTGCAAATAGAAACAAAAACATATATAGACATAAATATAATATATGTTTATGAACATAGAAATACATATGGGAGACACCGCGTTGATACAATAGAATTGTTCAGCCTTCAGGCCAACTTAGCCCAATGAGGCCTTCAGTCTGTTTTCCATAGACCAGTAAAACGAGCACCATATTTAGTATCCCACATTCTGACAGCAAGCTGATCAAAACAGCTATATTTTGAGCCAGACAGACCAGCAAACAGACAAACCTCCTGTTCTGTCAGTTTGCACACACAGCTTCTCCCTGCAGCAGATCTTCATGAGGAAGGGTCAACTCAAAATTTGTTTGCAACCACAGTGACAAGAAAATCCGAGTGAGCAGGATGAAGTATTGTCAATAATAAATTTTAGTTGGGGAAAAAATGCACAGATTGTAATTTGCAAGTTCTAGGCACAAACAAAGCCAATTTAATACATCAGGGATTCCATTGGCATAGCAAGGCCAGATAAAATTTAATGGCTTTTGAACAAAGTAGTTGACTCAATATCAAGAATGCTGATGAGTTCAGTACATACGGTACTTTTGTAGCTGGGCGCTTCAGAGGGGACACTGTGAAAGGTGTGGTCTCTGTCTCCCCCCAACCCACCACTATCCTGTTCTTACTCTCAGTCCTGCCATCATGTGCTGTGTGCAGCTATGATCTTCCCCCCCCCCCCCCCACCACCACTGCAGAAAGGACAGAGTGGCTCTGTGTGAAGATCCTCTGCTCCCCCTACCTCCTGGCAAGCAGTAGTGGTGGAACTGAACTACATCTCCCACAAAAACCCTGCTTAAAGCAGGAGAGAACATTTTCCCAGGGATTTGACTGGAAGTCTAGAGAGAGCAATGCAGGTAAGAATATGCAAGGACCTGCTCCAGCACTGTGACCTGTGTGCTGAGGGACTGAACCACTTCCAGAACACCAGCTCTGCTGTGCTGAGGACCAGAAGTGAGCGGACATCTAACCAGAGTGAAGACTGCTGCTGTGCTTCTGGGTCTGGTGAGACGGCCTTGTGGCTATAACCTGTTGCCACTAGAAAGTCCTTAAGGAACTGACCACACAGCTTCCTAGTAGTCTTATTGTTGCCTGCAGGTTTGACTGGGACTGTTCTCATGTGCACCAACAGCACAACTGGGCCTGAATGCTGGCTGGCCGAAGAGTCGGGACTAAAGTCTGCACCGTCACAGTTGCTACACAAAGACCTTTTCCCACTGCCACCCCCTAAAGACAACCAACATGGAAGGTCCACAAAAAAAAAAAAAAAAACTAACCCTAAACAATTGCAGCCAAGAACAATTAGGAAATGTAGCTTATTAAAAACACATACAGCCTGTTAACATTGTAGTACAGTTGCAAGAAAAAGTGTGTGAACCCCTTGGAATTACGTGGAGTTTTGCATGAATTGGGCATAAAATGTGCTCTGAATGTCATCTAAGTCACAACAATAGAAGAACACAGTCTGCTGAACATAATACTACACAAACATTAGATGTTGCCATGGTTTAATTGCACATAACATGTAAATATTCACAGTGCAGGGAGGAAAAAGTATGTGAACCTTTGGACTTAATAACTGGTTGACCCTCCTTTGGCAGCAATAACCTCAACCAAACGTTTCCTGTAGTTGCAGATCAGACCTGCACAACGATCTGGAGTAATTTTGGACCACTCCTCTTCACAAAACTGTTTCAGTGTAGCAATATTCTTGGGATGTCTGGTGTGAATCGCTCTCTTAAGGTCATGCCACAGCATTTCAATCGGGTTGAGGTCAGGACTCTGACTGGGCCACTCCAGAAGGCATATTCTGTGCTGTTGCAGCCATTGTTTTGTTGAATTACTTGTATGCTTTGGGTCATTGTCCTGTTGCATCACCCATCCTCTGCAGAGCTTCAGTTGGTGGACAGATGGTCGTACGTTTTCCTGCAAAATGTCTTGATAAACTCTGGAATTCATTTTCCCATCAATGACAACAATCCGTCCAGGCCCTGAGGCAGCAAAGAAGGTGCAAACCATGATGCTCCCTCCGCCATGTTTTACAGTGGGGATGAGGTTTTGATGTTGGTGTGCTGTGCCTTTTTTTCTTCACACATAGTGTTGTGTGTTCTTCCCAAACAACTCAATCTTGGTTTCATCTGTCCACAGTATATTTTGCCAGTAGTGCTGTGGAACATCCAGGTGCTCTTTTGCAAACTTCAAACGTGCTGCAATATTCTTTTTGGACGGCAATGGCTTCCTCCGTGGTGTCCTCCCATGTACTCCATTCTTGTTTAATGTTTTCCTTATTGTAGATGAGTCAACAAAAATGTTAGCATGTGCTAGAGATTTCTGTAGGTCTTTAGCTAACACTCTGGGATTCTTCTTTACCTCATGCAGCATTCTGCGCTGTGCTCTTGCAGTCATTTTTACAGGACGACCACACCTAGGGAGAGTAGCAACAGTGCTAAACTTTCTCCATTTGTAGATAGTCTGTCTTACCGTGGACACATGAACATCAAGGCTTTTGGAGATACTTTTGTAACCCTTTCCAGCTTCATGCAAGTCAACAATTCTTGATCGTAGGTTTTCTGAGAGCTAGGCGTGGTCGTCCTGTAAAATTGACTGCAAGAGCACAGTGCAGAATGCTGCATGAGGTAAGGAAGAATCCCAGAGTGTCAGCTAAAGACCTACAGAAATCTCTGGCACATGCTAACATTTTTGTTGACACATCTACAATAAGGAAAACATTAAACAAGAATGGAGTACATGGGAGGACACCACGGAGGAAGCCATTGCTGTCCAAAAAGAATATTGCAGCACGTTTGAAGTTTGCAAAAGAGCACCTGGATGTTCCACAGCACTACTGGCAAAATATACTGTGGACAGATGAAACCAAGATTGAGTTGTTTGGGAAGAACACACAACACTATGTGTGGAGAAAAAAAGGCACAGCACACCAACATCAAAACCTCATCCCCACTGTAAAACATGGTGGAGGGAGCATCATGGTTTGGGGCTGCTTTGCTGCCTCAGGGCCTGGACGGATTGTTGTCATTGATGGGAAAATGAATTCCAGAGTTTATCAAGACATTTTGCAGGAAAACGTACGACCATCTGTCCGCCAACTGAAGCTCCGCAGAGGATGGGTGATGCAATAGGACAATGACCCAAAGCATACAAGTAATTCAACAAAACAATGGCTGCAACAGCACAGAATACGCCTTCTGGAGTGGCCCAGTCAGAGTCCTGACCTCAACCCGATTGAAATGCTGTGGCATGACCTTAAGAGAGCGATTCACACCAGACATCCCAAGATTATCACTACACTGAAACAGTTTTGTGAAGAGGAGTGGTCCAAAATTACTCCAGATCGTTGTGCAGGTCTGATCTGCAACTACAGGAAACGTTTGGTTGAGGTTATTGCTGCCAAAGGAGGGTCAACCAGTTATTAAGTCCAAAGGTTCACATACTTTTTCCTCCCTGCACTGTGAATGTTTACATGTTATGTGCAATTAAACCTTGGCAACATCTAATGTTTGTGTAGTATTATGTTCAGCAGACTGTGTTCTTCTATTGTTGTGACTTAGATGATGTTCAGAGCACATTTTATGCCCAATTCATGCAAAACTCCACGTAATCCCAAGGGGTTCACATACTTTTTCTTGCAACTGTACTTTAACAGAACTGCCAGTACCTACAAGCCCTACACTAACCTCTCCCTATGCACTTTATTAGTGCTTTCCCTGTCACAGCTGAACCATACAATCAATATGGCTGTTGTGACCTTAAATTTTATAGTTAATAAAAAAGCCCACTTATTGGCATTTCTGAGCCAGCTCGTCTGGCAATGCATTATGGTTCTGGTGAATTCCTGCATTAGTTTGAAAACCACAAAGACAGAATCCTCCTTGAAACCATGATTGTGGAGAACCCCAACCTCATCCAAATCCTTTCTCTGCTGGGGAAAGTTTCCTTACCCTCTTGTCCGTGTCAATAAAGGTCAGAAGAACAAGAATAATAAAATAAAGTAAAATTGGTGCTGTACTCATAGCAGCAATCTTTCAGAGGAAGACATGATTAAGTTGGCTGCTTAAATAATTACTGCATCATCCTAATGTGATCTATTAACACAGTGCTTAAAGTGGAGGTATCTGCCCATAATATATTCCTAACATGGAACTAAAGTCACTATTACTTACCCCCACTAACAGGCCAAGGTCTGTGAGAGGTCCCATGCTGTCACCCTCTCTCCAGGTGCCGGTTTTCAGGCAAGTTCATTGACCGGTGCTGGATGACATAACTCCTGCGTAGGAGTCAGTCATCCCTGCACACAGTGACCATGCCTGCAACCTTAACAAAGCTTGGCAGCTCAGTTTACATGTTACAAAAGACTGCAAGCAGGCAGCTGCGTGTATTTTTTTTGCAGAAGGAACATTGCATGTCTCTTCTGCAATAAATAACATTTCTCAAAAGTTTTTAAAAAAATGTCTTTAGTTCCACTTCAAATGTGAAAGATTAAACTACCTTACTCAGAAGCAACTAATAGAAGTGCCTGACAGAAGATGCTATTTTAAAACTGTTGGGTCATAGTTACCTGAAAGGAATTTCTGTTATTCGGGAAAGCCAAATCAAATGTTAAAAGCAAATGAAATGTGTGAGGAGAGGAAAGCCGGTAACTGGCAAGTGTAACAGTGGGCATCTACACTGATAAACAGCAAACTGATCATCAGTGTCCTGATGACCAGTGCAGCCCCAACAGTGCCCATCCGTGCTGCCTATCAATGCCCATCAGTGCAGTGCTGCCTATCAATGCCCATCAGTGCTGCCATCAGTGCCTACCAGTGCTGCCTCTTCAGTGCTGCCTTATCAGTGCCCATCAGTGCAGCCTATCAGTGCTGCCTATCAGTGCCACCTCATCAGTGCCCATCAATGCTGCCTATTAATGATAATGAAGAGCCATCCTTACATTAAATTTTTCTGGATCCACTTTTAGGTTGGGTGCTTGCAGGTCAGTCAGGGTGGACAGGATGACAGGAAAGTCATCCATATGATTTGCTGCAGTCCAAATAGCATTCAGAATCTTTCCACTATGAGCCTTGATGTCTGCAGAGCCAGGGGTCAGGTCAAAGTGGTGGGGAAGGGTAGTTTTGGTTTTGGGGAAGCTAATGAAAAGCCTAGAACAAATTAGCACAATATCAGAAGAATTCCATAAAGCATGTATATCAATCATTTTTCAGAAAATATTTTTCTTTAGAACTACCTGTGCCTAATTCGGGCAAGTATTTGGGCCAGTTCATTAACATTACCAACACGGGTGACAAATTCAGGTAGTTCTCACTACTGTCACTTTAAGACCTGTTTATAGGTAAGCAACAAATTCTTAAATTAACAGTCAGTTTGTAGATTATGAAAACTGGCAGTAGTTAAATTCTGAGCTGGCATACAGAGGTTCTCAGAGTTGGGGAATGTCTATGGTGGGAAGCTTATGCATGCATGTGACATCATTTTGCACAGGGCTCTATTCCTGACCCTATTCAGCTGTTGGACAGGAGATTCTCCAGCTTAAGTCTGAATGTGAACTAAGGAGTCAACGATAGCGGTGATGTCATTATCCAAATATGGCAATGCCCATGTTTGGGAAATGACTTGTGTCGCTGCGAGAGCCGAGCCAGAAGAGAAGCTGACAGACTAGTTCCCAATCAATGCCACCTTACCTTTGACTGACTGCAGATGGCAGTGGGTGGTTTTGAAAACTGCTATTGGACTGAATAGGCAATATGGATCCACCCAGTGTCCATTAGCAGCCAGGTAGACTTGATGGGAACTGTATTGACTCCCCTATCAGGCCCCACCCACCAGTGTGATGGGAAAAAATGGCTGGAGAGGAAGTGTACAGTTTGGACACCACTGACCTCCATGCCAAGCACCAACAGATTCATGTACCTCTATGACAGGTACAAGAATCAGGTGCAAGTACCGACATGTTGGTATTATGCTCCAACAGAATTCTGACACTCTTTATGAATTCCCCCTATAAAGTGCTAAAAACATGTTTCAAATGTCATGTGTGATTGAGTATATTAGTACACTATAGGTCCCACAAGCTAACACCTTGGTGACCAATACAATATTACATTACAGGGATAATTTATCAAAACTGAAGCAGACAGAATCTGGCAGTAGCTGTGCAGGGAATCCAATCAGCTTCTATTTTCAGCTGATTGTTAAGCTCTGAAAAAGAAATATAGAAGATGGCCAGTTGATATGCATGGCTACTGCAGATTTTGTCTGCTTCAGTTTTGCTAAATTACTCCTGCAATGTATTATGTAATGACCACCAAGCTGTTAACTGCTTCATTTTTAAATTCCCGTCTCAAACTTTAAGGAAACATTCACACCTGTCGCTGTGTTACAAAGACGCAGTGTGCAGTATGCTGTGAGATGCAGTGGAATGACATCAGTACTGATCATGGTGCAACACACTGTTCAAAAAAAAAAACAAACTATAAATGTCACACGGTGATATTTCATGAAGTTGTATTGGCTGCAGCATGAGGTAATGGATTGCCTTGCACTGCACTGGAAAATAGTGAATGCAGTATTTTTCTGCAGCATACACCAACGTAATGCAGTGGTGAGAACCGGCCAGGTAGGAGACAAGGCATTTTGGCTTGTCTTGCTGTGGGACTGTGCTGGAATAGCTGCCCAATGATATTCTATCAAAAAAAGTATTTGGCGCACAATAGAAATGTGATATACAAGAAGATATGTCCCCTAAACATTATATATATAAAACCATGTGTACGTTAATTCATACATTATATGGGGGGGGGGGGGGGTAGAGGAAAATAGTCCACAAAGAATGGAAGACTAGAAGTCAGACCAAACCATGGAGAGTTCATAGGAGCCCATTCAGTAGTAGATTGTGCATTTGTATTGGAAGCTCCACCAGAGACAAGTATGATCTTTACAAAGCAACAAACAAACACAGGGGGCGCCATTTAAGTGAAGCATAAAAAGGCACCTTTATTATTAAAACCAAATGCAAACTCTCATGCCACAGTACGATCGGCGGTGGTGCGGCCTGCTGGTGGAGGGACGTCTTCTTTCCGTCCGGACCTGGAGGTCCCGGGTGTTGCTGTGCAGCCGGGCAGAGGACGTGAGGGAGAGGGATCGTCCCCTCCGCTCCGGTCTGCAGGAGGAGCAGCTTCTGAGAGTACTCTGTATTTTGATTGATACGGAGGCCATGGGATGTCGGCTTCTGGACGACAAGGTGGCTGATTAGCAGGCCACTGTGTGTGCTGTGCGGTAGTGTGAAAAAGTTCAGTTGCGACAGTTGCAGTCGCTGCTGGGGGAAGCTTAATTTTGCATGTCGGATCATGCCCATGGATCGCATTTTTAACCGTCGGTTGGTGGCTGCCATAGCTGGGGTTACTGCACCTGGGAATCGCATTTGTTTGACGCAGGAGCTTAAGGCAGATTTGTTGGTGAGGGAAACTTTTCTGGAATCCTTCAATGGGAGATCGGTTCGGACGTCCGAGGCTTTGAGTAGTGCTGACTTGGAGCTTTTCATGGATGCGGCGGGGTCAGCAGGCTATGGTGCCTAATTTGATGGTCAGTGGAGTGCAGGCCGATGGCCTGTGGATTGGAGGGAAGCGGGTTCTACACGTAATTTAGTTCTTTTTGGAACTTTTCCCGATTGTTTTGTCCGTGGTCTTATGGGGTCCGTTTTTTTGGGATAAAAAGATTTGTTTCCAATGTGATAACCTTGGGGTGGTGGGGTCGATTAACAGTGTTACTGAGTCCTCGCCTCCGGTGGTTCGTATGCTTCGCCAGTTGGTTTTGTCCTGTCTTCGTTTAAATTGTCTTGTTTATGCTGTTCATATACCTGGATGCACTTATTCCTTGGCCGATGCTCTTTCTTGGTTTCAGTGGGACAGGTTTTGCTCATTGGCTTCAGAAGAGGCGGAACTGGGGGTTCCTTGTTCAGATTGGCTGTGGATTTTTGCCTTGGAGTGACGGCAGCGCTGATTCGTCGTTCGGTGAGTGAGGCTACCTGGTCTGCTTATTCTGGGGTGTGGGAGGAGTGGTTTGCTTTGGTTCACAGTGCGGGGGGTGGTTTTTCGGATTTGGAAGCTAGTTTTCTTGTGTTGTATTTTCTTGCTAGAAATTTTGAGGCACGCGTCTCAGTGTCTATGCTGAGCCGTAAGTTGGCGGGTTTTGGCTTTTCTGTTCAAGATGTTGGGATGGTTGAATCATACTAAGGAGTTTTTGATGCAACAGGCGGTCAAAGGGTATCAGAGAGGTTGGCGGTCTGTTGATACCTGTAGACCTGTGTCTTTTTCATTGTTATGTTCCTTGTCGGGTGTTCTTCCTCGGGTGTGCTCCTCCCGTTACAAAATCATTTTGTTTTGGGCGGCCTGTGCGTTGGCTTTCTTTGGGGCATTGCGTGTCGGGGAACTTCTCAGTTCTTCCACACGGGGGTTGGATGGTTTGTCGGTTGCGGACTTGTCATGCAGTGAGGTGTCGGTTGTTTTTTGGATCCGTCGGTCAAAGACTGACCAGGCGGCGGTTGGGGTGCTTGGGTGGAATTGTTTCCAGTGCTCGGTTCTGCTGTCTGTCCGGTCCAGGTGGTTTCCCAGTTCTTGGAGGTTTGTTCGGGGGGAGGTGGTCCTTTTTTGTTGCACGCTGATGGCTCTGCGCTGTCTTGGTTTCAATTAATTTCTGTTATTCAGAAGGGTTTGCTGGCTTTGGGGCTTTGTGCGACTGATTTTGCCTCACACTCCTTCCATATTGGGGCTGCCACTGAGGCGGCTAGGTGGGGGTTACATGAAGGTATGCTTCGCTGGTCATTGGAATCGCGGCAATATCGTTTGTATGTTCGTCCGCAGTTGTTGCAATGGTTCACCTGTGTTTTTCTGTGTGTGTGGTGGGGTTGTAGTAGTTGTTGTATTACTATTTGGCTGTTTGTTTTTTTCCTTTTTTTCCATTACAGATGCGTGTTTGGTGTGGATCCTGGGGCATGTGTATTGTGGTGCTCGCAGGGTGGACGTGTGACCAGCCGGTTGGCAGCTGGGGATCCCTAGGGAGGGGGCCATGTTGTGTTGGATTGGCGTGCCGGGCTTATTGTGGGGCAGGGTGATGCTGGAGTTTGAGCGTTTTGTTTGCCTGGATAGGGATCCAGTGGTGTTGTTGGTTCATGCAGGGGGTAATGATTTGGGGATTTGTTCTGCACGTGATCTGGTGAGGGACTATAAGTTTGATTTCTTTGCCTCTGTACGGCGTATCCAGAGACAGTTTTTGTGTGGTGAGAGGTAGTGGCGTGTACGCGGCGGCGGTTGGCCAGGTCTGTTGTGGCCTTGAACAAGGCTCGTATAAAAAACTGAACAAGGAGGTTTCTTAGTTTGTTGAGCGGAATGGTGGTTTAGTAGTGCGGCATCCGGAGCTGGAGGTGGACACTTGGAGGTATCTGAGGGGTGACGGGGTTCACTTGAATGCTGTGGGTGTTGATTTGTGGATTTTGGGTTTGGATGATGGCATTCTACATGCCCTGTGTCCACACAAACATAAGGTGTCATGTTTGTGCGTTGGTGGCGGGGTGCAAGGTCCTCGTTGGTTAAGGTGGGCACAAGAAAAGGCACTTTGTAGGAACCCATCTGAGGTACGGCTTCCAGTTGTGCTGGTGGGGGTATCTGCGGTGTTGTCTCCTAGTCAGTGATGTTGTGGCTGGAGACCTAGTTAAGCAGGACGCAGGTATTCGTTTTTCTTGATGCCTATAGGGACCTTGCAGGAACGTATGTTTATACTGTGTGTTTCTGTTATTTAAAAATGTTATTTATTGATGGTTATAATTAGAGATGAGCGAATTATTCAAAAATTCGATTCGGCTGATTCGCCGAATTTGCGGAATAAATTCGATTCGATGCGAATTTATTCGCTGCGAATTTAACTTATTAAAAGGGTTTTCTAGGCTTCAGAGAGCCTTTATATTAGTGCAGAACACTGTACCTTTAATTTAAATGCCCTTGGAGTCTGCTGGGGAAGAGAAATAATACTGTCAGTCAGTATGACATGCAGATGAGTGCCGTCGATCTTAGAATCACCGCACACTTCACTCATTTGGGCAGTCACGGGGCCAAAACCAGAGTGTGGAGCCACAGTGTGGCGGTGGAGGCAGCAGCAATGGGAGGCCATACAGCACCCTATGACAAAATGGAACCCACCAGCAGTGTGAGGAGACCTGAAAGTGGCACATGGCAGAGTGTGGTGATGGAGACAGCAGCAATGGGAGGCCGTACAGGGACCCATGACACACTCTGGACCTGGCAGCAGCATGAGGAGGCGGTACAGGGGCCCATGGCAGAGTGGCGAAGCGTAAGCAGCTTAAATTGAAGGCCATACAGAGGCCTATGTTAAAAAGTCCCCCCAGCAGCAGTGTGGGGAGACGACTATCAAGAGTCCAATGGCAGAGTGGCGGAGCAGAAGCAGCTTCAATTGAAGAAGAAGAGGATGAGGATGAAGAAGAAGAAGAAGAAGAAGAAGAGGATGAGGATGAAGAAGAAGAAGATGAGGATGAAGAAGAAGAAGAGGATGAGGATGAAGAAGAAGAAGAAGAAGAAGAAGAGGATGAGGATGAGGAAGAAGAAGAAGAAGAAGAAGAAGAAGAAGAGGATGAGGATGAAGAAGAAGAAGAGGATGAGGATGAAGAAGAAGAAGAGGATGAGGACGAGGAAGAAGAAGAAGAAGAAGAAGAGGATGAGAGGAAGAAGAAGAAGAAGAGGATGAGGATGAGGATGAAGAGAGAAGAAGAAGAGGAAGAAGAAGAAGAAGAAGAAGAGAAGAAGAAGAGGATGAGGATGAAGAAGAAGAAGAAGAAGAGGATGAGGATGAAGAAGAAGAAGCAGAAGAGGATGAGGATGAAGAAGAAGATGAGGATGAAGAAGAAGAAGAAGAAGAAGAAGAGGATGAGGATGAAGAAGAAGATGAGGATGAGGAAGAGGAAGAAGAAGAAGAGGATGAGGATGAAGAAGAAGAAGAGGATGAGGATGAAGAAGAAGAAGAAGATGAGGATGAAGAAGAAGAAGAAGAAGAAGAAGAAGAAGATGAGAGGATGAAGAAGAAGAAGAAGAAGAAGAGGATGAGGATGAGGATGAAGAAGAAGAAGAGGACGGGGATGAAGAAGAAGAAGAAGAGGATGAGGATGAGGAAGAAGAAGAAGAAGAAGAAGAGGAGGATGAGGATGATGAAGAAGAAGAAGAGGATGAGGATGATGAAGAAGAAGAAGAGGATGAGGACGAAGAAGAAGAAGAAGAAGAGGATGAGGATGAGGAAGAAGAAGAAGAAGAGGATGAGGATGAGGGAAAGAAGAAGAGGATGAGGATGAGGAAGAAGAAGAAGAAGAAGAAGAGGATGAGGATGAAGAAGAAGAAGAAGAAGAGGATGAAGAAGAAGAAGATGAGGAAGAAGAAGAAAGAAGAAGAAGAAGAAGAAGAAGAAGAAGAAGAAGAAGAAGAAGAAGAGGATGAGGACGAGGATGAAGAAGAAGTAGAAGAAGAAGAAGAAGAGGATGAGGATGAAGAAGAAGAGGATGAGGATGAGGAAGAAGAAGAAGAAGAAGAAGAAGAGGATGAGGATGAAGAAGAAGAAGAAGAAGAAGAAGAAGAGGATGAGGATGAAGAAGAAGAAGAAGAGGAGGATGAGGATGACGAAGAAGAAGAAGAAGAAGAAGAAGAGGAGGAGGATGAGGATGAAGAAGAAGAAGAAGAAGAGGATGAGGATGATGAAGAAGAAGAGGATGAGGATGAAGAAGAAGAGGATGAGGATGAAGAAGAAGAGAATGAGGATGAAGAAGAGGATGAGGATGAAGAGAAGAAGAAGAAGAAGAGGAAGAGGATGAGGATGAAGAAGAAGAAGAAGAAGAAGAGGATGAGGATGAAGAAGAAGAAGAAGAGGATGAGGATGAAGATGAAGAAGAAGAAGAAGAAGAAGAAGAAGAAGAAGTAGGATGAAAATAAGAAGAATTCCATTCCAGCAAAAAGTGTATCTGCAGAGAGCTCCGCTATTTCTGACAGTTCTCTGACAGTTCCTTCACATTTACAGCGGTTGAAACATTGTATCTATTTGTTTCCGAATAAAAACATCTGTATCCTAAATGGAAACAAATAGATACAATGTTTCAACCGCTTTAAATGTGAAGGAACTGTCAGAGAACTGTCAGAAATAGCGGAGCTCTCTGCAGGGACACTTTTTGCCGGCTGTAGAAGGGATGAAAATCGGCCGATCGGGGAAAATTCGATTCGTGCATCCGAAGTTTGCTAATTTTCGGATTCGGCGCGAATCGAATTTTTCCTAATATTCGAAACGAATTCCACTTCGCCAAGTTCGATTCGCTCATCTCTAGTTATAATAAACGGTCAGTTTTGAAGGCCATTAACTCCATTTGTTGTCAGTGTGGTTACTTAGGTTAAGGATGGGGGGTAGGTATTGTTTGAGTGGGACTTACAAGCTATCTTTAGTCCCCTGGTCATGATGTAGATTAACACTTTAAATAAAAAAAAATGCTCAGTATAAACTGTCAATAGTAATAATGATTATTATTATGTACCCTTCACATAGTTGTAATTAAGCAATTGAAAACATCTCTGCGCCGGCAGCTGCAAACTAACACATCTGTTAGTGGAAACAAGTCCAAAATCACAAAAAAAAAAAGTTTTTGTTTTTTTTTTTAATGGGACTTACCTGTTCAGAGCCTCACCACCCACGGCATTAACCTGAGAGGACGTATTGTGCCAGATGGATAGGACTGCTGCCTTCTCATTTTCTGTCAACATATTTGTGCCAAGGGCACTACACTGGTACACCTGAGAAGAGCTTGAAAATTACACAACAGTCTAATAAACTGAGGATCATGATACTTTTTATAGCATTGGGATACAATACACATTGGTAAAGGAGCAATTCTATTGGCAGATTCACAGATTGTGAGCAAGTGGATTTAGAAGTGTCAATGGAATATTAAGGTGCTAAACAGCATACTCGTAGTCCACTGAGAACTACATGTACAAGTCCATCTGTTCTAACAACTCCATCTGAATTATTGAAGCTAATTCATTCACAGATCTCTGTGAATGAATGACGTGGCTGTGCAGGTGGAGCCCCGCACATCCGAGCCAATTTTGAATGTGACAGCAGCAGCTGGGGAAAAGAACCACTCTCCCACTGTCAAAGGAGAGGATGGCTGAGGGGGTGTAGTGGGGCATGCTTAGCAACATGTTACACTCTAAATATGTTGCTAAAGGGGGAGATAGCCTTGAAATCTGCAGTGTAAAAAAATGTTTCACACCAGTGCATTCTACATGCATTTTGTGGTAGCATCACAAAAATCCTGCTTGCTACATTTTTGATACACTTTCAATAAAACACACAATATATAGAATTCAGTGACATGCATAAACACATGTAAAATACACCTAAAATGCACAACACAGACATGAGATGGCCAAGGACTGAAAAGAATTTGTTTGGTTTGGCAGGGACCAGCCACACATCACAGGAATGAACTCTTTCTCTAATTCAAACCCTCTCACATGCATTTTCTTCCTTGATACAGTAGCCCTGAGATCAGCATTTATGAGCTCACTCCTGTGATGGTGGAGGTGAATGGTAAGAGCTAGAAGAGCTTAGCAACATTCTACTATCAAAAATTAACTGGCTGTGCTTTTGGTGACACTGATTGTTAATGGCAACCCAAATGTGGAAGCAAACACACATTTTTCTGCATGAAAAAAAATGCACGACAAATGCAGAAAAACGCACGTTAAGCATGTACAAACCCAGGGGTGGACTGACAACTCATGGGGCCCCCGGGCAATAGGAGACCATGGGGCCCCTGTGTCCTTGCCCACACTCAAACCACACCAGAAAAAAGCCTATGATAAAGGTACCAGGGGCATCTCATGGGGTCCCCTTCTGACCCCGGGCCCACGGGCTATGCCCGAGTTCCCAAATGGTTAGTCCGCCCCTGTACAAACCACAAGACACCAGAATGTCCCATGAGCTATTTTGCCATATGTAGACCAACCCATTGCACACAGTTAACCCTTTGATCGCCCCTCATGTTAACCCCTTCCTGCCCAGTGCCATAGGACAGTGCCAGTGCTTTTTTTTTAGCACTGATCACTGTATTGGTGTCACAGGGAATGTCAGTGATACCAAGTCAGTTCTAACCACTGTCAGAATGCCCGCTGCAGTCCTGCTATAAGCCTCTGATTGCCGCCATTACTAGTAAAAATGAAAAAAAAAATCCCAGTATATATACTGCCATTTGTAAACGCTATAACTTTCACGTAAACCAATTCATTTATATGTATTGGGATTTTTCTTTAGCAAAGCCATGTAGCAGAATACATTTTGGCCTAAATTTATGATGAAATTAGATTTTTTTAATTATTTTACTAGACATGTTTAATAGCAAAAAGTAAAAAATATTGTTTCTTTCTCAAACTTGTTGATCATTTTTTTTTATATAGCACCAAAAATAAAAAATTCACAGGCGATCAAATGCCAAAGAAAGAAAGCTCAATTTGTGGGGAATAAAAGGACGTAAATTTCATTTGGGTGCAGCATTGCATGTCCGTGCAATTGTCAGTTAAAGTAATGCAGCGCCGTAACACAAAAAATGTCCTGGTCAGGAAGGGGGGTGAATCCTCAGGCAAGTGTTTAAAGGAAGAAGTAAGAAAGCAGGTAGAAATTAAAAAAAGGGGTGGTATAGTAAGGGAGGCGTGGCCCAGAGAGGTAAACACACCCTATTCTGTGATGTAGTAAGGCAGTACATGATGGGATATGAAGTTTCCAGGATGGTTGCATGATGATACTGAACGAAAAAGAAATATCTAGTCTCATAAGGTGTATGTCACTTTAAGTATCACTGCACTTCATCGAGACCAGCTAGTAGATCCTCATTTTACTTCCAGCCCTCTGCAGCTATGAGAGCCACAGTGTTGTTTTTGCACCTTTCTCTCCACCCCTCTCAGCACTAATAATGTTTTGATTACATATTTACATTCTTTTGAGTCCTGATAAGAAATTATCCTGCCTATGTAATGCCCTTTTTTACCTTAATGGTTCAGTTGTAATATTAATGTGATACCTACATGCATGAGTATACAAAAAACCCAAAAATACACAGAATAAACAGAACAGTTATTTGGAAAACGCTTAATGTATCTCTTTGTGTCTGTTCCCCAGGGCCGGAGCTAGACTATTTTGTAAGGAGACCCTTAGAATTCAAAATATAAGGCATTTTAAGGGCAAAAGATACCTATTTTAAATTTCCTTTTTTATCATGTTTATTTTATTTTTTTCCCATAAAGTCATTCCTGCCCATAGTTTTTGACTAGAAAATGAGAATGCACTCCAGCTCACTGCAGGGGGGTATATAATCTCAAGTTTGAGTGCCCAGCTATTCCAGGAGGTATCAATGAGGCATGGTGTGTATATACAGTAGATATACAGATATATGAAATTAAGAATGGACTTGTACATCATTCATATTTGCAACCTGCTAAAATATTGTAAGTATAATATTTCACAGTATTTTATGTGAGTGACACAGTTAGTTATTTTAGAGATTGCTTGATATATAATTTAACTGGAGTAGAAGGAATAGTGAAAATGTAATACAAGAATAGGATAAGAGAGAAAAAAGAAAAGTAATGTAAGCAAGATGGACGTGATAAAGGAAAGTAGGAAAGAAGAAGTATGATAAGGAAAAGAGGAAACGGAAATCTCTGGCCTGAAAATCAAGGAATTAGAGGTAGCTTTAGGCAAAACAGCTGTTTTTTTCAGTTTCTGGAATATTTTGTCAAAATATTGTCCATCACTATATTTACTATATAAATATATTTTAAATGAACTAGAAACAAATATGCATAAGAATCACACCAGTCAGTTTTTGTATGAATATGCAAAATTTCATGCAGACTTTATCACTTTGATCAACCAAGCAGGTGTGACTAATGGTGTCAAAATGAACACCATTAGGGGGCGCATGTGTGGCTGGCTCTGGGGATGGAAGCTCAGTGAAGAGAGCTCCGTCCACCCGCCAGCAGGATCGCGGCACACTACGACACCAGGGAGTAATTATCAGCTCGTTAGAGCCATTAACCCCTCGCCATCCGAAAGGCCTATGACCCGCAGGAGGAAAGCGCCGGGTCACCCTACAAAGATGACAAGCTTTTACCCAGCACTCGCACCCTGCAGCCAAGATGGCGCCAGCCCCCTGCTGACAGGCTTGTCTGCCCAGCAACAGCAGCAAGGAGAGAACACAGACCACCAGGCTGCATACCATCTGGACCCCAGGCTGAAGGGACAGCTCTATCCAGGAGACCCTGGTGAGTCCTCCTCCCCCCCCCCCCCATCTCCCACAACTAGCAGCCCAGGAAAATCCAGACCCAGGCTGGACACAGGATCACTGCCTGACAGCCTTCAATCTTCTCTCTCAACCACTGCACTATCTGCTTCTGCTCCATCTTTAATTGATTCCTATCCTGCTTCTGACCAACTTATCACAGAGATTTCCATGAAGAACATGCTCCTTTCCCGCTACAGACGCTACATATTGACCTGACTGCCTCATTATCCCAAATTGCTAATACGGTCCAAAACCAAGAGAAACGTATCCGCCATATCGAAAACAAACTAGGAGAAGTGTGTACCACACATCACGATCTTATAGATGCACACACAGATCATACAACAGACATCAAACAAATTAAGCTGGCAGACTTAGAAGATCGCTCCCGGCGGAACAACATTAAATTCCATGGGATCCCAGAATCCATCGCCAGAGATGCCATTGTACCTTTCATACAACAATGTATGAAAAATCTCATTCCCACCTTCACTGACGTGGAATTGGCCATAGATCGAGCACAAACAATCATTTCTACCTGCGATGATTCCCAGAGATATACTGTCGCGCATACACTTTTACCACGTAAAGCAGAAAATAATGATTGCAGCCAGACATTCGACCTCCATTCTTCCAGCCCAAGCAAACATTAAATTGTTCGCAGACCTCTCTAAAGCAAGGCTAACGAATCGTAAGAAGCTCATCAGCATAACCAAAGCACTACAAAAACCACAACATCGCATATCAATGGGGCTTCCCTAGGAAACTGAATGTCAAATACCAAGGCAGATTTTTCACAATCAACTCCCTAGAAGCAGGCATCGAATTACTGAAAACATAGAGCATTATGCCAGCAGATTCCCATCAATCAACATCCAACCAACTGCAGCAAATGCAGAAACAGGAAGATCATAGCCTTCAATCAAGCATATTACCTCCATGTTCAATTCCCTGGACACCACTCTCTAACACACTAGCTGGCAATCGGCCCCCGATCGATCGAACATACTGATCGCCCAAGTCCGTTTCACGGCCCCACTTTACAAAGTAGCAGATACTGCTACACATGTTACTTGCGTTGTTTGCGAGGTTTTTTTAACCCTGTTATTACCCTGGTTCTTACCCCGAGCTACCAGTCATCGCTAGCTAGAATTGCCCTTCTCAATAACCCCCTTCACAAAGTTGAACACTCAATCAGCAAAAGCAGCAATCCCATGCTCAAAAAACCGCACACCTGATGGTCCATCTTCTCCAATATGAGGACGTCCACTCCTCTTTCTGACATCTGAACCACCAAAGCTACGGTATTCAAACCATCTACAATCAACAAAATGGTTACTATATTTTCGCTAAATGTCCGAGGTCTCAACTTCCCCTTCAAAAGGTCCTTGCTCTCAAGAGAAATCCACACCACTCAAC